TACATTCAGTAACAGTCCCAGCTTGTTATTGATCCATGCAACAACAAAATAAAAACTGGTCTGATGCTTAAGTTAGTCTGTATTTATTTATTCTTTCGCCAAATCTTATGTAACTACGGAATAGACCATCTACTTTATGTTTACACTGGCACCTACATGCATAGTGAGGTCATAAAAGAGCCTATTAGTTTCCCAAGCATTAACTGTATATAACCAGGAAGGAAATACAGCTATTTACAGCTTCCATGGGCCCACAACTCAACCTCAAACAGACACCAGCAGAACTCTTCCAGAGTTAATTGGCAAAACAATAAAATACAGTGAAATGCCTCTCAACATTAGCTGCACGTACATGTACTGAGCCCACATTCACCCAGCATTGCTGGTTCAGCCAATTGATTGTAGGACCAGCAGCAAAAAGGCCAAACTGTGCATTCATGTGGTGTCAGAGTAATGGGGAAAATTATTTCCCTACTGGGAAAATTCACAGGAATGCCCCCTGAAGTCGGAACAACAACTCGAGCTTGAGAAAGTTTTGCTCCACAAGTTGTAGAGTTGTTGATGTCATACACGTAGAAACATGGTTGACTGTTAGAAATGTTTGATTGATGGTGCAAAATGACATATTGCATATACATTGTTTGCTAAGGTGTCATTTGTAATATGGTATTAATAGGTTAAAACTGTTAGTTTGCTGTCCATGTAGAGTTACTTAGATTAATTAGGAAAGTATTTGCAGTACAAGCAATATTTTAGTGGTTTCAGGCAAGGTCGTCACTTTGGGTTAAAAAGTGGTGGGGACATAAGGGCTCAGATTAGGGGTGTGATGATACTCTTAGCTCACAGGTTGAGACTATGCACAGTATTGGGTTCATGAGAACAAGACGAGAAGATATTTTAACACTATTTTGAAGAAATGTTCAATGCTAAATTATATGAATGTGGGGTCTGGGAGTCCTCCCCAAGAAGATTTTGAGCATTAAACTCTTAATTTTCTGCATTCTGGAGACATTTTCTGTACCAATATATTTCAGAAATGTCTTTATTTATATAAAGGGAAAAACAAAATTCAGGTGGCAGGTGACAATTCAAAATATAAAAATATAACAATATATAATGCAGTAATTGGTAGGTTGTTTTTTAGCTTATGTTACTTTTTGGACAAGGCACATTTGTTTCTTCTATATTTAAATTGCATTGCAAAAAAAAAACTCTCTCAAAAGCATTTCTTTTGTTAGTTAACATTTCTTGTTGCAAGCTATTTTTCAATAAAATCAAAAAGTGATGGGGACAAAAATCACTCATTTCAAAAAGTGATGGGGACATGTCCACAGCCTCCCCAGTGTAAATGACACCTATGGTTTCAGGTAATGTACTGGTGCAGCAGCAACGACTCTGGGACAAAAATCACTTTGTAATTGAAAGTGTGCAACTGTTTCAGCATACTTCGATGACAATGACAATCCAACACAGCACTGTAGTACCATATATTGTTTCCACATTCCGACTTATTAAAAGCACATGACAACACAGAAATCTGAATAACGACTTCACAACTCAGGAAATGGGACCATCCGAGGAGCATGTGAATGCACCTATAGGCTGTCTTCTGAGAAATATCCGACTTTCCACCTCAAAGCCTTCCAGGTGCATGGTGATGCCTGACACTTTTTTATATACAGTCTATGCCTGACACCAAAAGTGAATGAAATACACGGTGACCGTGACAAACTCTTTGTCAAGTGTAAACCCAGTTGCACCCGCAGCACTGGCCTCGGTGTTAATTAATTTTATGGCCGTTTTAATGAAAACAAGTGACTGAAGTGGTAATCCTCAAAAGGCAGAATGTTGTAGATTATACTTCCTAATGTTTTCAAATGTTTTGCCGTTTCTAACATTTTACTGAATAACTCTTGTGAAGAGAAGATGAGTTTTTAGAGATAACATTGGCAAAACATTTGTACACCAATATACATGCAGAACAGGTTTTATATGATGGCATGAATCATTTTAATTTAAATACATGGACATATCCTTTATGTTTCCTTTTAGTATGTGTTATATGTGTGCTTCAATAGGAGCTGCCATTGTTTTGTATAATGTAATTCAGTTACTATTCGTGAAGTTGGGGTACAATTTTTTTTCTCCGACTTCACAAGTAGGAAATTTGACTTCAAGTGGCGTGCCAGGATAGTTTTTCTAGTTGGAGGTCAGAAATTTCCGAGTTGTCTTGAATGCAGCACAACATAGCCATCTATTTATATAGGTCACATGCAGCCGCTGGAGTGTTTCTGTAATCACTCCCTATTTATTAACCGCAAACAGCTACAAAACACGACAACAAATGAGTTAACTTTAACCTTGAAGTTGAGACATTTTCAATTTGAGCCGTTTACACCTTAGTTCGCTTTCATTTGCGCGTCCAACCGTTGACTTTGTATGAAGTCGCGCCGCCTCCAGTATTCGTGTTTCTGGACACATGCAGGCGAACACGAAGAACAGGGGACACTGAAGAGGCAAAATGGGGTTAAAGAAATTCTTAATATACAATTATTTCTGTAGTTTCTGAACTATTTTTTTAATTCACTGACAACAAAGCAGCGGCTAAAACAGTAACTTCAGCCTAATGTTGTTAAGTGCACAAACCTAGTTTGTGTTGTTGTGTGTGAGTCGTTGCCTCGTCGCTTTCGTGCAGTCTGCATATTCGGTTGAGTGTTAGTTAACGTTGGTCTTGTTAGCGGTACTGCCTGACCGTTCCGTGGTCCAAACGATGGAAAGTTCACGCGATTAAACTATGTAAACATCTTTGTGTCAAAACCTATGGTCAAACCTCAACTTCCTAGTTGCCGCCTTGATCCCGCCCGTCCGCCTAATCAACCAATCAAATTGCAGCAGAGGAGTTAGAAGCGGACGAGGTCTCAGTAATCCCTGAGTTGTGATTTGTAGGCACATTCACTATCTTCAACCCAAATTACAAAAGAACATAAATTATAAACATTTCACTTTTTGAGTACTGTCATAGACAATAAATTTATCTGGACAGCAGAAACCTAAAATATGGTTTATGTTGTGTAGAAACTTTTTATCTTTAACCTTTCCTTCTTCTATACTCCTTATGTTAGTCTACTAGGGTTTAGGTCAGAGTGGTGAGATTGTTTTGGTGTTTACCCCCTCTTGTTCCTCTCCTCTCCTGGAATGTTCATTCAAGGCCGAGAGAGGATTTCTGTTCCCCAAAACATAGAAACCTAGACGGTGTAAATGATTATGCATCCCTTTGCTCGGGGCCAGACGCCCAAAGCTGCCCTAGGTGGCAGGTCTCTGGACCAGCTGTATATGTGTTTTAGTACTTCTTTGTTTATTCTCTCTTTTATTAATAAATTCTTAAAAGACAACGGTTGGTTGTAATTCAATTATTTGCTCAATCCCTCATTAGGAATATAATTTCCACGACAATTAATAGTCTATAAATGACACACATGGTGAGACATACTTTGCTTATATTCTCCCAAAACCTTCCATGTAGCTCACAATGGAATAATGCTAAAAGTCTAAAATCATCTTTGACTTATGTGTGCATTTAATTAGACCAAGCTTTCTGTCAGACTGATAAAAGCATGATTGGCAGCGTAATTACCCTGTGACCACAGTACATGTTGGTCATGGACCGATGAAAAACATAATTTGACATTCAGAGCACATACAGCTCTGCTACATTCCTTTTAATCAACCCTTTTCAATCTGTCTGAAGCAGAATATATAGCTTCATTAAATTCACTTACAGTCAATGGCAGCCACTTTCCAAGGCAAACACAGAGAGCAAATAACGTTTTTGTTGGTGTTTACCTTCAGGTACAGCGTGTTTATTCAGAAATCAGCTCATGCTTGCGTAGTGAATGGTAAAGCTATCTAAACACAGATTAGGACACCTATAGGCTAAAAGCTAAACTCAAAGTTTTAATGAGTTCAAATGAATATTGCCTACTTTTTGTCTGTGATGACGGGAGCCTTTTGTCTAAAAACAAATTTGCCTGTGTGCACCTAGGATCTCCTATTGGATTTTTAAGTTTCACTGTCAAAGTAAGCTCCAAGCAGAGCAGACATTACTGCACTGACAATATAATGTCCCCAACTGTTGTGCTATTCGGTTATTTTGAATCTTTATTGTGTCTTAAAATTATTATCCCAGAGTAGGCCTACTACATCATATCATATCAAGTTTTATTAGATATCACAACTCATGCCAAACTTAGACTAACTCAGAGTTGATTTCGAAGCTGTATTTTTATTTATTAGTGTTTTTATGTTTTTCGTATTCTGGGATTGGTTGTGTCTAATTTGTCTCTAATAGTATATGTATAGTATATGGTAGCATAAATGGACTGCATTTATATTGCACTTTTCTAACATAACCAATAAATCGCTTTACAATTTCAAAAATATGTGCAGTCTTGCAAAATTAGACGGATAAACAGTAGGGAAAGAATCCATGCGTCAAATACATTTCAAAATACGGTTGTAATTATGTGCAGTGACCAGCAGATGTCACCTTGTTTTGCAACAAGCATCCCTGTCCATCCACTGTCAAACTCTTTAAGCTCATTTTGGACTGTTGTACTGGATTACCATGCTAGGGTTGCATCTGTTGGGGACTATTTAGTCACAAAACACTGGCCACATATATGTATATGTTTCACAATGTACAAAAAAGTAACAGTCAAAACATGTATTTGTAGCTACAGCATATGGAGATGGAATCTACATTTTTGTCCCATTTTCTATTATATTCCCCCGCCCAAAGTATATCATTGGGTTTATGGTCAGTCGGCGAGCATCAGTCTTGATGCTGCAACAAATCTCATCGCTCTCCTGCCAAACAGCAGCCATTCATTAAGAGGAGGACTTATTTACACACACACACACACACACACACACACACACACACACACACACACACACACACACACACACACACACACACACACACACACACACACAATAGCATCGTTCCAGCATCTCGATAGGTTCAGAGACGAACTGAGGACTCTCTCTGCTCTCACTCCTCGCTCGGTTCAACATGGACTTGGTGAATTTTCTGCTTTTTCTAGCAGTTACCGCCTTCACGGTGAAAGGTAGGCTGTCAATTAATTGCTAATGAAATTTGATTAGGAGGCAGGGGGTCTTGCGGTTTTTGTGTTTCATGTGAAGTTGACCTGCTCTGGTTTGGTTTGCAAGCCTACTAAATGTAATGACATAGCCTACCTGTTGTGCCAAACAACGAGTTTTTGGTAAACTCGTTCTTTAATGTTATTTGAAATAAAAAACGTGACTTCATTAGTAGCCTTGATGTAATATGCACTATTAAAGGGATGTCCTGGCGCTTATTTTTTTTTCAGCACTGTCCTGTTGGACTCATGTTCATCTTTTTTTTTAACACAAGTGCCCAGGCAAAATCCACATAAATAAATATCGTCAACCACACAACGTGCTTAGACAAAATGCAGAATATGTGTAGTAAAGTACAAGATTTGTATTCCCCCGTTTTATTCTTGTGCCTGATTTTAATTAGTGGAGGTACGTTTTTTTTAAGTTCCATCCATTTATCTATCTATTTAACAATAAATATGGTTTTACAAGTAGCTACAGGGTGTAGAAATGTAATAACTGTAAAACAAGATCCCATTTGTAGCCTACAATGGTTTAACATACACATTACAGTTCATTTTTTTGTCTGCTGTATGTGACTGATTTGTCAGATAAGCATGGAACTTCTTGCAGCTTTTACTGATGCTATGTAAGGTATCTCATGCTGAGCTTTAGGTGAAGACTTGCAGAGTGTTTTCATGGATGGAAATGAGGAAAGTAACATGGCATTAATCTGTAGGCCTATTTGTGTTGTTTTCTAACACTTGGACAAACAAGTAAAAGTGAAAAATATATTACAGCGCACAGCATTAATATAAAGTATAAAGGTAGTATAAATTTGGTATTGATACTCAGTCTAGAAGGATGCACATCACAAGTCAACCCAGGCAAATAAAAAATCTGATGAAACTACATAATAAACCCTGATTTTTGGTAATTAGTTCTTGAAAGAGCCATGTTGTGTCTCATCACTTTTACACAGATCTGCTATGAATTTTGAATATTTTGATTGAGGCAATTAACTTAATGATAATCACTGACTCAGGCTCTTGGTCTGCACTTTACAGTCACTAGCTAATTGAGGCTTCCCTGAAACGTAGAGAGGCAGATGGAGAGAAGTGGTGTTAGGGTGTACATGTACATCTAACTGTCTGAGCACATGTCTGGGATACTTAAGGCCCTTGTCCATCTCCCTGACATTATTAAGTCTGTTCAATTTTAATTAAGAGGTAGAAAGACTTTGCTTCTCCCTTTTATGGCTCACAGCTTACTTTTAGCAACATATTGACATCGTATCCGAAATGTTTCTTGCATGGTCTGATGGCCAAGACATGTACATGGCTGTATTACAGAAACATCTTAGGACAGTAACACAAATTGATGTGATCTTGCCTTGATCCTCATAGTGAAATTTGATTATGGTGGGACTGGAAAGGGCAAATCAACAGAGGATTCAGCCATGGACAAAGACCAGCTTTCAGCCAGTCTTTCAGTCTTTTTATGAAAGAACCAGATGCGACAGACAGCGGAGAAATGGGGAGTTGCCTACAGTCAACAAGCTCTCTGCCAAATCATCGGGATAATGTGCTTCTCATAGGTGGTTTAGGATAATTGGGCTATGGCCATTAGTGAAGTGAATAGATGCTGCCAAAAATGCTCCATAACTCATCAGGGGAGACGAAAGTGTGTTAAAATGAGGGGCAGTTCTGATTTGCACAGTGAGATGAATCAAGGCCAGGTATTGTATTTGGGTAATTGCCTTGTATGGGCTGCATGTTTCTCACCTCCTTAGACTTTGTTAAAATATTCCATTCTGTATTTTAATTTAACAAAAAAGACCCTGACAAAGATTAAATGAAATTCAAAATTAGAAGTGAGAGGTTTTAGTGCAGGCAAGTATTTTACAACCTGCACAGTCCATGTTGAAGGTGAATCAGCAGCACTCAGTGTCTGAAAGGGCTCCAGCAAGGAGTGTAAGGTGGAGCTGGAGTGGTGATGGGTACCTGCAACATAAGGCAAGACAATAAATGGGAAGAGGTGTGATATTGAGCCAGAAACTCAACGCAATGCCTGTCTGTCCATCACTTTAGTCCAGGAATATCTCTACAATTATTGGATAGATTGCTCATGCTTGTTCCCCAGAGGATAATGTCTGACTGATCTCCTGACATTTCCTCTAGTGCCACCATGAGATTGACAATGTGGTTCAGAGGGAAATATTCATTAAGTTCAGTTCATAAAAATGTTTGTGCTGGAGGATGGCTGTATAAATGGGAGTTTGGCAACATTAATTGGCAAAAGATGAGACTAACAGCGTTTCTCTTCTTTAGTTTCTCTTCAAGGGAAACACCAGCGCAGACTGTACAGAGACCTGATGACTGATTACAACCCGCTGGAGAGACCAGTCGTGAATGACTCTCAGACTCTCACTGTTCGCTTTGGCTTAACCCTCATACAGATCATGGATGTGGTACGTAAATAATGGCTTTCCACACATGCATATGCACTGCACAAGATGGTGTTATGATAACTCACTCAGAAAGTCAATTCTCATGTGTAAGTGTTTCAATTATCTTTCATGCACATTAATACATTTTCAATCATATTTATGTTTGGATTTGGATGTCTTTAAATCACAAATAGATTCAGAAAGCACAACTGATGAAGGAACTGTCTTGGAGCTAAACAGCTGTCACTGCTTAACAGTCAATTGTTTTTCCATTACTCCTGCCCTGAGAGGTGAAGCTGTGAATGTTTAAATTCTTTCAGTGACATGATTCCTCCTTTTTGAAATGTAAACTGAGAAAAGATGCATCACAATACCTGAATAAATAATATTAATAAATATCAAAATTTTCAACAGGATGAGAAGAACCAGGTTTTAACAACCAACATTTGGCTACAACTGGTAAGACTTTTCCCTGTACAATGTATGTAAAGACAGAAACACGGAGCTGCACATCCTTATCATTAAACTTAAACACATATTACATTTTCCCATTTACTATATTTGTAAAAATAAATCCATACACTTTCTATATCTACTTATCCTGTTGGTGTTCACAAGATGCTGGAGTCTATCTGAGCATGGCCTGGGCGAGAGACAGATGACACCCTAATAGTTTTTCAGGGGTTAGTGGCCGGACTATTTCTTGGCAGTGATTTCCTGGAGTGCTCACAGTGACAACAAGACTCCAGGACGTGAGGCACATTATCCCCCCCAAATAACACAAATTGTTGTTTCTACACTTCCATTGGATTTTGTTCAATTTAAAGAGAGCAAGGCTACGTGTTTCCCCCTTCTTCCAGTTTTGATGCTAAGCTAAGCTTACCGGTTGCTGGCTGTAGCTTTATATTTACCACACAGATATGAGAGTTATATTCATCTTGTCATCTAACTCTCTGCAAGAAAGTGAATAAGCATTTTCCTCTACATGTTGAACTGTTGGCTGCGTTTAACCTGGTATTTAGTTTGTGCATCTAATCCCAACAAATGTAACTAATTATTAATATAGTATGTCTGTGTTGAAATGTGTATTGTTTTACAATCTTGTTTATCACATCTACTGGTACCCAGTCTTATTTCATCTTCCATGGGAGCAATATGCCCATTTCTCCTCCACGCAGTGAGATGAAGTGTATGAGCACAGATGTTTTATCGCAGCCTGTCCATTGTGTGACATGAGTTCCCTGCTGCTGCACCGTCAGCAAGCTGTATCAAGGCTGCTTTGGGTTGTTTTAAATCATCCTGTGGAATCACAGCAGCAGTCTCACTCAATCTCTCTCAATCTCTCTCACTCCACACTCTGCCAAATCGACTCTGGCTCTCAAACACAAGACAGCACCTACAGTATCTACCCTCTGTTAGCGTTGGTCTATCATATGTTGGCTTAGCCTACTTGTGTGGAAGAAAGTTTAAATGTACTAAAGAAGCATTCATCTCTGAAAGTCACTTTGAGATATTGCAGATGGTTCTGTAAGATTACACACTCAACCATTTTTGTCAGAGAGTAGTGATTATAAGATTTTTACTGCCTCAGGATAGTTTTGGAATGAGCAAATTATACATGCAGACAATTGTAGCATTTACAACATAATGACATGAATAATTGAGTAGCGTCAGTTTTGGTTTTAGGCGTCATGTTCATGATTTGTTAAGGAGATGAACTGCAATGGCAAACTATTGTATAGTGTTTTAATTTTACTCATTACACTATTTTTTTTTACCCATGGTGCCCTTTCCTGGGGCCGTCAGTGAGTTTCATGGAATAGTTTGACATTTTTGGAAATATGCGTTCTTACCGAGTTAGACAAGAAGACTGATAACACTGTCATAATTGCCTTTTAAATATAAGGCTACAGCCACAACCTGGTTAACTTAACTTAACTTAGCAAAGACTGGAAACAGGGGGAAACAGCTTGCCTGGTTCTGTTCGAAAGGTAACAAATCCATCTATCAACATATCTGAAGCTCACTAATTGTCACTTTTTATCTTGTTTTTTTAATTTGTTAAAAAAAACTGTGCTAGGTTACCTGTTTCCCCAGTTTCCATCTCTATGCTAAGCTAAGCAAACCAGCATCTGGCTGTAGCTTCATATTTAATATACAGATATCAGAGTGGTACTGATTTTCTCATCCAATTCTTAGCAAGAAATCAATCAGCGTATTTCTCCAAATATCAAAATATTCCTCAACATCGATCGAAAGAATGGCAAAGTAGATGTAAATACTGGAATTAGTGAATGAGATCAGTATTTCTGTTAAAAAGAGCAGCAAGTTGGTGAGGATAACATGACTGTGGAAATGCACTTTACTCTGAATTTACCATGTGAGCCATACAGGTGATTCCACCCTCCCTCAATGTGATTTACTCCGCCGTTATTAGCGTCTGACCTTTATATCTCTCAGTGCTGGCAACAGCCATTATCTGAATACCATGTAGGTTTGAATTAATTAAAAATTAATTATAGATCTTATTTGAAAAAGCCATTTCATCAAGGTGTAAAACATCACGATATTATGTCCTAGCCAGATCAACTAGCTGTACCGTTTTTTCTACTCAGCTGTAAATATCAGCAAGTCATCATATGCGCACATTTGCAGAGGGCCTGGATGGATTTTGTGCTTGTTTTTCAAAGAGGTCAATGAACCGTGAAACATTTTTTGTCATGTATTGTCCCTTTCCATTTTATTGCCATCTTGACTTTTCAGCTCTGAGCTCAGCTCTGTGAAAGTAATCACCCATACCTCTCTACTCATTATTTACAATAAGTGGCATCAGGGCTTTAGAGATATGCTAGGGACATGTCTCTATGGATGGAAATGTCAGTATGGTCACATGTATGTCAGTCCACAACTTTTGTCCAGACAGCAAGGGTATGCTAATGATTTTGGTGATCCTCTGACTTTTCCTCTGGAACCACTAACAGGTTTATATTTTTAATTCACTTTCTAGACACATTCATGTGGGTGAATTGTAATAAATTTGGTTAATTTTGTTATTGTCCAGTACTTTATTTTATGACCAAATACTTACAACACTAATGGCATTCCCATCAGTCTCAGCTGTACTTTCTATTTTGTGCTAATGAGTAAATGTTAGCATGCTAACATGCTAAACTAAGATGGTGAACATCATAAACATGCCTTGCCTATCACAGAGCTGATAGTATGGCTGTAGACATTTGGTCTTGATCGACATACTGTATAACGCCATATGATAAACATATCATAACATTACTATTTGGTTTGAGATCCAAGTGCTATGAATACCTCTTCACTGCAGTGATATCTACCAAAGAAACAACATCACTGGTTTAATCTAGAGTTATAGTAATATTGTATGTTTGAATTTTAGCTGATCAACAGTTGTTGAATCTACAACCTGTGTCTGATTTATAAGTTTTGTTTTACCCTCTAGAATTCAGCATTTTCAGTGCTGTACACTACATACTGTTTGAATTGAAAAAAACCCTAATGCAGGCTACTTCCGAAAATCTTATTCCCTGAAACTCAACTGAACTCAAATCTTGTAGTATACCACTGCATAATGTCACTCACAGCAGGTGTCTCATTTGTTTTACCCATTATAGTAACTGTCACTGCCACTAACAACACACTTGTGTTAAAGCCTCAGCTTTCAAACAAAGTTTACCAAACTGGAGACTCAGAGCTGGTTTGCAGGATATGTTACTGATATACATGTGAAATATGAAATGTACATCATGTTTCTGTATTCCACAGTTATGGAATGATTATTACCTCCAGTGGAATACATCTGAGTATCCAGGTGTGACCAATGTGAGATTTCCTGACCATCTCATTTGGAAGCCAGACATTCTGCTGTATAACAGGTAAGTATTATAAGGACAGATCAGCTTGGTGCTGCACTGTAATTGGATATGCATGGTGTCAGACTCAGCATGCATGCATTGTCCTCTACACAATAGAATGGGGGATGATCTCAGAGGGATGATGTATTCTGGATTTTTGTGTTCCTGAGTTAAAAACGACATTGTTAAAATGAGTTTAATATATCAGAAACCACAGATCTGACTTTTTTGAAACATAAAGGAATAATTGGTTTGGTCCCTGTGATCTTGTGTTAAAATATAAATTTAGGAAAACATTGGGCCTCATGAAAGAAGCACACCACTACTAACCAATTCATTCTTAAATGGGATGTCCAGGTGATTTAAGATAATGTGTGGCATTTACAAAATCTTTTGGATTTAGAATTTTATCTGTGATATAAACAACATATACGAGTGGTCCTGAACTGTAACAAGTCACATAGTTTGTTTTAATAATTAAATGCCTTGTGAATTCATTTGGATTTTAAATGTACTGAATTCGACTAGAATGACAATTTGAATAATTAAATAAAACTTTCCCCTTGGGTCCCCTAATGCCACTACTGACTGGCTGCTTGTTGCCAGTTTTCATCTGCTGATTTCTGACAGCAGGACTTGAAGATCTGTGGTGTGAAGTTCTTCTTTTTGCTCTTGGGTGACATTTTTCTGAATGAAACAAATGCAGTAGAACAGGTAGCCTTAGATAGCAAATTAAGTTTGTTGATTTTGCTAATGATTAAATCTCACAAAGGTGCATCTACTCCTGAGCAGGTGGCATTCATCATGATGAAACACTGTTAATAGTGTTTACTGAATCTGACAACACTTGTACAATCAAACCTCAAGGTACAAAAAACAAGTGTTTGGATGTCTCACCTACAAATGGGCCAAATTCAACAAAACAGTATTTAGGCAGTGTGCACTAATTATAAAGAATAAATGCCACATGATAACATAAAATGATTCCAAAAAGCATATACAAGCAGTTGGGAAGTGCTTTATTTCCTTCAAACTGAATCCCAAATAAAATAGAATAAAATAAAATTTTATTTTTCACCAGAGTGGAAAATTCTCATTGGCTCAACAGAACATAACACAATATTTTCAGGCTACAAGCCAGAATGTGCTGGATTCAGGCGTCTGCTTGTTTCAGGATGTCTGCAAAGCATCAGACCCCATGTTGTCACAGGACATTTTCAGCATATCCTGCAGAAAGACCCTTAAGCTGAAACTGAAAGATAGATAAACACCACTGTTCCACAATACTTACTTAAACCTCCTTCCTTTTTGAAAAACAAAAAATCTTGGATAGCTCTAATTTTCTAAACTAAGCATGTCTGTCTGGTACAAGCTTGGAAGATCACTATGCATAAAGTGAATGTATTCCCATGTTAAAAGGAAAGGTTAATCAGAAATGTTACTAAAAATGGACAATGTTGCTGATACAGCTCATGCTGTTAGGTAAGCTACTCTTCAGACAGGAACATTACAATTCAAGGTCAGTGGTGATCTTCAGTTTAAATATATGCAGTGCTGTCTAGAAGAGCTCTTAAGGGCAATAAATCATTTAGACAAATGAGTAAACTTGTATAAAAAAGATGGGTGAAAGAACATTTTATTATATGTCCCTAATGGAAAATGCTATTAATCAATCTTTTAAGAAAGATCTGAACAAATCACATTAGAGGCACTCTACTCTCTATATCTACTAATGAGGGAAAAAGCATTGTACTTCATTTGTCATTGTCCACTGTGTAAAGCCTTGATTTGAGACTCTTTGAATTAGACACTGCGGCAAGTAAAGTTTTTTTCTTTTTCAAGCTTTCAACTTCAGCTCAACCATGCCTCAACCTCTGGGGAGTTTATTTAGAGGCAGTGAATTGTGGGTAGCAGGGGAGAATGAGGGTAACCACTGAATAACCATCTCAAGGGAAATGTTACATCAGCTGTGAATCCTTGTGTGCTGTGTACCTGCTGCAATAATGAGTTAGAGAAATATTTGTATTTTACCTGTTTCTCTCGCTGTGTGTGGCTCATTCCAACTTAAGTTGCATCCTTATAATTAATAGTGGTTCTTGCAAAGGTTGCATCAATGTGTGAATTTATTCAAATATTTTGCACTGAAGCTGTACTTTGGTTGCAGATAACTTAGCTGTAAATACTGATGTAGCTCCATGTTTTCCACAGTGCAGATGAAAGATTTGATGCTACTTTCCACACCAACATTTTGGTCAACTCCTCAGGCTACTGTGTCTACTTACCTCCAGGTAAGAGTCACAATCTCTGTTAGTCGTGACACTTCAGTATCATACAAAACCTGGTGTTTACTCATTGGAAATGTTAGACGTTGGATCATTGCTGCCTTACCTTGCTATTTTCTACACATTACAAATATATTTCAAAGTAGTCACAGATGCTGCTTGTTGGGAGACCCCTGATATACACAGCTAAACTTACATAAGCAGCAATGTAAAGACTTTCTTCTCAATAAAATAAAATAAAGGCATGTTATTTTTAAACAACCTAGATAAATCAACCTTTTGTTCTACCTCCAGACTCTAAAAGAGACTGCACATAGGAAGTAAATATGTGAAAATAATTAAACACAAAATATCTTTTTTTAAGACATCTGAAATTAAACCGCATGTTGTTTTTCTGTAAATCAGATTTCCGGTTTTCTCCTTTTCCATTTTTTGATTTCATGATGGCATCCCGTATTTTTTGCAAGCATTCTCAGGAATACCATTAGTTCATTCTCTACGTTCTTGACACTAAATAACTGTTTTGATGTCTTCCAGTCAGGATTTCGACAATATCACAGCACTGAGACGGCTCTTGTTAAGGTCTTCAATGGGATCCATTTAAACACTGACAGTGGTAGAATTTCAGTCCTAGTATTATTGGATCTCAGTGCTGCATTCGACACGGTCGACCACAACATATTACTAGACTGACTTGAAAACTGGGTTGGACATTCTGGCACAGTACTAAAATGGTTTGAATCCTACTTAAAGGACAGTGGCTACTTTGTGTCTATAGGTAATCACACATCTGAGCTGACAAAAATGACATGTGGAGTTCCCCAAGGCTCCATTCTGGGGCCTCTTTTGTTTAACATTTACATGCTTCCACTGGCTCAGATTATGAAAAACAACAAAATATGTTACCATAATTATGCAGATGACACAAAGATTTACATAACCATTTCAGCAGGGGACTATGATTGAGCAGGTCAACGGCTGGATGTGCCGTAATTTTCTTCAACTGAACAAAGATAAAACTGAAGTTAATGTTTTTGGAGCCAGGGAGGAACAATTGAAAGTCAGTGCTCGACTTCAATCTGTAATGTTAAGAACCACAAATCAAGCCAGAAATCTTGGTGTAGTCATGGACTCAGACTTGAATTTGAGGAGCCACATTAAGACAATTACAAAGTCAGCATACTATCACCTGAAGAATATATCACGGATTAAAGGACTTATGTCTCAGCAAGACCTGGAAAAACTTCCAAATCCATGCATTTGTCTTCAGTCGACTCGACTACTGTAACAGTGGCCTTACAGGGCTCCCTAAGAAATCCATCAGACAGCTGCAGCTGATTCAGAACGTTGCTGCTCGAGTCCTCACTAAGACCAAAAAGGTGGATCACATCACTTCAGTGCTGAGGTCTTTACATTGGCTTCCTGTATGTCAAAGAATTGATTTCAAAATCCTGCTGTTAGTTTATAAAGCACTAAATGGTTTAGGGCCAAAATACATTTCTGATCTTCTGCTTCGTTACGAACCATCCAGACCTCTCAAGTCGTCTGGGGCAGGTTTGCTTTCTGTCCCCAGAGTCAAATCTAAACAAGGAGAAGCAGCGTTCAGTTATTATGCTCCGTATATCTGGAATAAACTCCCAGATAACTGTAGGTCTGCTGAAACTGTCAGTTCTTTTAAATTAAGACTGAAGACTTTCCTTTTTACCATTGCTTTTAATTAAATATTTAAGATTTTTCTTTTTACCACTGCCTTTAACTAGTAGATTGATAACTTAAACTGCACTGTAACATTTAATTTATTGTTTTCTTTTTCTTTGTTTTTAGCTTTTTACCATTGCTTTTAATTAAATATTTTACTCTGCACTGTAACTTTTATTATTTTTTAATGTGTATTTTTTCAATTTTCCTATGTTGCTTTTAAACTTTTTAAAAAAAGATTTTATTTCCCTGTTGCTTTTATGTTTCATGCAAAGCACTTTGAATTACCTTGTTGTTGAAATGCGCTATACAAATAAACTTGCCTTGCCTTGCCTTACATAGATGTGTTTCCATACAGCCATTCAAATTGCTTAGTTATTAACAATAGTCTAATAGTCTAATCATAGTCAGACAGTTACACTGACTTATAACCACACAGCATACTACATACATGCTACATGACAGAAGAGCCTTTGAACAGACTTGGAACAATATTAATTTACTGCTAATAAAGTGTCCTTCTTATGTGACTTACAAACATGAACAGTACAGGAAAAGGTACTGGATTTATACAGTGAACTTAATTGACCATATGGTCTAAATAAAGAAAAGAATCAATCTTGATTTCCATGTCAATATAATTTCTTATAATGCATATTTTGAATATGATGTGGCAGTATATTATTGACAGACAACCTTTATCTAAAACATTAGTTGTTGCATCTTATATCCCTCTATAACTGTGCTCCAGAACTTTTCCAATTGTCCTCTCTGTTGACGTACTAGTTTTTAAGCTTTGAGTTGACTGATTCCTTCATCCTTTCTGTATAATATTGGTAAGCAAATAGCAGCTCCTAGGCCATATCTGCCCCTGAAACAAAAATTTATGGCCCCCCAGCATTAGCCTCCAAATGAAGTTTTCCTTTTTGTACTTTGCATCAAAACATTTGCCTAATGTTACATAAATCAAAACACACCAGCTTTCAGGGGCAATAACTACGACGAGGTATCACTAGTTTATCATGGCTTGATGATATGCAAATGCAGTATCATCAAACACAATGACAGCGTTTTATTTCATCTTTTCATAAAAATATAAATTGAATTAATTTTGTTGAATTCCAGAGGTGCATTTATCAAACAAACAAAATCCTCCTTACAAATATGCAGATTGATTTTTAATTTCAGAATTATTTTACTCAGCCATTATGGTGTATTTTCTTTTGGGGATAAGTGAAACAACAATTTTCATCAATAGGTTTTTTTTTGCTTCATAGTTCTTTGTTTGTTTTTTCTTGGTCTACATATTTGCTTTCTTGTAAAGAGTTAGATTAGAAGATTGATTTCACTCTTATGTCTGTGTGGTAAATATGAACCTACAGCCAGCAGTTGCTTATCTTAGCATAGATTAGCTTAGCATAAAAACCAAAAACATGCATAACAGCCAGCCTGGTCTGTGCAGTCGTAAAAAAAAATCTGCCAGCTATCGCCTCTAAAGCTCACTAATTGACACATAATGTATATTTTGTTTAATCTGTGCAAAACCAGTTGAGTTTTATGTGCGGAATGAACAAACAAGAGATTACATGTTAATTAGTGAATTTTGTTACCTGTTCATTTTGGACAGTGCCAGGCTAGCTGTTTCCGCTGCTTCCTAGTCTTTATTCTAAGCTAAGCTAAGCTAAGCAACTGCTGAATGTAGCTTCATATTTAACATACATAAAATATGTATATAAGGGTGATATTCTGTTCTCATCTAACGCTTAGCCAATAATTGTATACGTTTATTCGGATCCCCATTAGCTCGTCTACTGACCCACTAGTCCAGTTATGAATAGTACATAACATCATAAGAGATGAGCCAACTTGACATAAAATAATTTCCCCAAATTGTCCAACTGATGGTATGTAGCCTTGTGCCTTAAAACGTTCTTATCCCAGTAACAAAAATATAATTGTCACACTTTGTTAGTGACGCTTTGATCGGCGATGCACGTTTCCTGATCAAGCCCGTACTGACCCACTGCTGCCACACTGTGCGGTCTTAAAATATATGACACTTTCTGTAAAACCATTTGTATACACACATACATGCACATACAAACTCCCACATGCATGCATGGGAACACATTGAAACAGAAGGCCTTCTTGTCACAGCTGGTGATTACTCTTCTCCCTGGCAGACTCTTCTTCCCCCCCTTTTTTCCCATACCATGCAAAAGCGCTGGCCTGCAGCGCTGCTTTGCCTCAGCATCTTAATCAATATCAGCGTAAATAGCTTCATCATTGAATTTCTTCTGGATTGATTGCCTCTGTCGCAAGCAAATCGCCTCGCAACTTTGTTACAAATGAACCCTCAATGAATGCCATATTGGCTCAAAATAGTAATTCGCCGCTTGAGCTCAACACAACTGCATTAAATAACTATATGCAGAGTCGACATAGGGAGCCATTCCAAATCATTTGAGTTTCCTGATACCCACTGAGGGTAATTGCAGTAAATAGAGACGTTCTGTTTTTTCCCCATCTCTGTTCATTCCCTGCTGAGGTTAATCATCTTCATTGCACTGAGAGAGAGACCTTGTTTATTGCCGATGGCTCATATCTTTCTTATATGTGGATGGAAATTAGTTTGGTGCCTGCCTCTCCTAAAGGATTACTGGCCACTTTCATCTCATTGTCATATTGAATTTTTAAACTCATTGGATGGATGGGACTTGGACTCCATATCTTGTCGGAGTAAAACCTCTCTTGCTGCCTCTCTAGCTGTTGGGTGCTGTTATTTAGCTTTTCATTCGCCCTCTGCCTTCTTTATTCCATAGTCACTGAATATGCTGTCTATCATAGCTCAAAATATCACTCTATCTGTTTCTTTCTCTCTCTCTCTCTCTTCAGTACCCTTCTGCTGTGAGTGTGAAGTACAGTACATATCAAAGCAAGTCTTTCTGTGATCCGTCTTGGTCTTTTCATGTTTCTCACCACAACAGGGATCTTCAAGAGCACCTGCCACATCGATGTGCGCTGGTTCCCCTTTGATGTCCAGAGATGTGACCTCAAGTTTGGTTCCTGGACATACGGGGGCTGGTCTCTGGATTTAAAGATGCTGGAGGCAGATATCACCGGCTACATCGCCAATGGAGAGTGGGATCTTGTCGGTAAGAGGGACTTGTGGCCAGTGAAGTACAGAGGATTCAAATTCAAAAGTGCATCACGCATGTTTTCTCCATAACTTTTGCTGAGTTTGTTTTGTTTTGCCTCACAGAGGTTCCAGGACGGAAGAAAGAGCATTTCTACGACTGCTGCGAGGAACCGTACCCTGACGTCACTTTCACTGTGGTTATGCGGAGACGGACCCTCTACTATGGCCTCAATCTGCTCATCCCATGTGTCCTGATCTCCACTCTGGCCCTGCTTGTCTTCCTTTTGCCTGCTGACTCTGGGGAGAAGATCTCACTGGGTTAGGGAACAAGCACACACACACACACATACACACATTCACATACTGTAGATTGCTTGTCTGGCTCTGTCCATTCATCCATATAGGTTCAAATTTAAATGTACTGTATTTTCTGAGGCTGTCAACTCATCTCATATTTTTACTGAAACTGCATTAGTTTTTAATCATTGTGAGCCAAAGTAGAGGTGCATTTATTTCTGTTGGCCCACCTCGATGTCCCTTGGCTGGGAGCAATGTTTCAAATTTGCAGAGCATATGTATCAGAAACTTCCGTCTATATATTTTTACTAGCTCTACAAGAACTTGGCTGACTGCGTTTTTGCGTGGTCTGCAGTGCACTTCTCCCTTAATTTTTCATCAATACATAATTCACACTTACATGCTACGACTGAATTGGCAGGTAACATCATGTTTAGGTAATGTAATGTCTTGATCTTAAGCTTATTTGATATTTTTGTCCAGCCCTGCTCTAAACACAGAGGAGTTGCTCAGATCTTGACATAACTCATGTGCGTAAGACCTCATATGTTACTCCATATCAAGTCTTTTGCACATCTGACCCAGTAAATAGTTTCTGGATATTTCTTTTTTTACTTCTTACAGTTCTTTCTCAAATGTCACTGTTACTGCAAAAATTGCATGCCCTTTGATACTCTCAATGCTGATATATTTTATCATTTCAAATTAAAATGTTTACTAGCTCGCTTTGATGGCCCCCTACCATGTTGACTTTACTGTGACCTATGAATAACGACTCAGTGCTGTTTAAAGAATTCAGCTGAATACGAATGAGATCATAATCAAATTCAATTGTTTACAGCCCAAGTGGTTTCAACACACAGTCAATCTTTCTATTGTTCTTACATTTTTATTATCTTGAATAAATGCATATCCTAGCTCATTTGTCTACTGGGAAATCAGACATTCTTTGAAAAACAATGAACAATGGTTTCATCATTAATCCACTTCCTCTGTGGACTTGAGAATTAATCTGATAATCAGCACAGAGTGACTGAACTGTCAGTGGGCCGAGAAAACTGTTCAATCTGTTGTCATAGTTGACTTGAATGTTTAAACCCACTTCATGCGTACTTGGCTTGGTGTAGACAGTGGGTAGGTGGTGGTGGTGGTATAGGCGTGCGTGCGTGCGTGCGTGTGTGCGTGTGTGTGTGTGTGTGTACTGTATATGGGAGTTGGTGGAGGAAGAGGGGGGAATGAGGGCGTTGATTTATGCAGTTTGTGCCTTCCTCAAATCATTAGAGTCCTGCATTGCAGCTGGATCCCTTAATTATCCAAAGGTGTGTGTGTCTGTGCGCATTTCTTCTGATTTTTGGATAGCTCATAGACAGAAAGAAGAAATAAGATATGACAGTTGCTCATGTGAAGTATAATATGCTCTTAATTCTCCTTATCACAAAATGTTTTTGAAGGGTATTATATACTGGAGTTCATAGCACACATCAGGCATACTTCATGAGTTTGCATGTGTGCTGGCATGTGTTGACAGATCTAATATAAATGAAGTCAGTATATCAGCCCAACCACTCTTATTTAAGAATGGTGAACACTCAGCAATAAAACTGGGCTGTCATAAGAATTATGATTTGTAAAATGCTGAAATAGATCAACTGGAAGATTATTGTTTGTGCATTTTTATTCTTATAGTCTCTGCATTTTGCATCGATAATTTTATATCAGTGTTGTAAATTGTTGTTTATGTTGGACTATATTATACTTTGTTCATATTTCATAGAATTGTAAACATTTGTTTAAATGGTTGGTTCTGTTATGGGGTTGTGTGGTGTGGGGACAGAGAGGACCCAAATGCAATGTTCGGAGGGAAGGAGGTTTATTGAGGGAGAAAGGGGTAAAGGGACTGGAGTGGAGGAAGAGGTGGATGTCGGGGAATTACAGGCACGGGGAACCAAGGAGACAGGGGGCCAGGGAACCGGGGAACACTGGGGCTGAGGAAGCGAGGAGCGGTGGGAGAACTGGGAGGACGCCGTGAGGGAAGTCTGAGGAGGAGAGGGCCGGTTGATGAGCCCAGCCGACTGAACGGAGGACGAGGGTGAATGTACCTGGGGAGGGAAACAGACAGAGAGGCAGGGTTAGAGATGACGGCGACAAGGCACAGGGAAAATGTGAAAAAACAAGAAACATGAAAGCCTGAACACAGAGGTGGCACCGGGTACGGAGCAACAACGATCAAGCAAGGATGGTGTGGAGAACCGGGGTTGAAATACAGGCAGGCATGAGGTGATTACTGGCAGGTGTGGCAGGCTGACGAGGTGGCTGATGGGATGCAGGTGCAGGTAGTTGGCTGGGCTCAGGAGCAGAGGGAGAGAGAGAGAGCACACAGGGGAGAAAACACAGGGAGGCAGGCAGGGAACAGAAAACCAAGGAAAAAAGCAGAATAACTGATAAAAAGGAGAAAAAACCAGGACACTCACTGTCAGCTGGGCTGCCACCACAACAGGTTCATTCAAATCACAAAGCAAAAACATATTTTCCCATCTGCTATCTTACTATGCGTATAGTCAAGGTTGTATTCACAGAGGTTTTTGAAATTTCTGCCTGCATCACTATGGAATTAAGTTTGTGGTACGGCATTTAAAAAATATATTTTTTTAAACTGACCAGCAACATTTTATAGAAACAGTTATTACAATTTTTTATTTTTTTTTACTTTTGGTAGAAGATTTGTTCCTAAATACAAGTGTTGGCAGTAAGGTGTTTGGATTATCCAGATTAATAGAAGCATTGTTTCTAGTTGCTTTTGAATTTATCAGATTTAATTCTTAAATATTTGGCAGAATAAAACAACTAATGTCATTTTTTTTAATAATGTAAAAGCTTAAATTATCATTTTCATCAATTTTAGTTATGATATTTGAGATCATGCATGCACCACTAATTGTCATTTGAAAGGATTCACCTTTCCTCCTTGTTCCACAGATATAAGAAACATCATCAGCAGCAGAAGTCATGATAGGCAGCTAAGTATTTTTCAGAGGTGTCGGATGTAAATAAGAATGCCTGCAGTTTAACTTCTGACTCTTAATCATGCTGAGAAGTATATTTGTTAAGTAGCACCAGTGGCTTAGCAATGTCAGCTCATTTGTGGAAACTCCTTGGTGGTTCCAACTATAATGTCTGCTCACATCTATTTTAAAGATACCTGTGATGTCTTTCTCTGCTTGTACCTTCTCAGGTGATGTAGTGAGTGACTAGGGCACAGTATTAGAAATTCTTATTGTGGCTTTTCTTTTTCACATTTGGCTGCAGTGGACTACACCATTGTAGAAGCTTAAAATTTGAAACAAGGCAAAATTAGCATAAGAATATAAGGCATCACAAATGCATGGAATAAACTGGAGGACTTGATGCAAAATAGGAACAAATCAGAACAACAGAATATGACTGAGTACAATGTATACACTTGAATGGAAAACATTAAACAGTCATCGTTATACAAAAAAATCCAGAGATAACCCACTCAATTGTTTACCTTTTATTACAAAATCATTTCTAAGGATGGAAATATATTGTTTGACTGAATCTTTTTGTCATAAAACATCAAATGTATGTAGACTTGTGGCAGATTTCAACATCAAAGAATCACTGGGTCCTGTCATGACTGTGTGATCTGAATGGTTTACTTTTCATTGCACTTAAGTTTTATTGTGAAGTGCTAACTGAGATTTGGTCTCCTCCCCAGGCATCACAGTCCTGCTCTCCCTGACTGTCTTTATGCTGCTAGTTGCAGAGATTATGCCCGCCACATCAGACTCGGTGCCTTTAATAGGTAAGCCTGGCTAAAGTTAAAAGCAGTCGCTCCGGGTGTCAACTGGGGAAGACGTGGCTGGAAATTTGTATAGTCATTTCTAATCTGGGGTTCTCTTATATCACAGTGAAACTAAGTTTCAGCAGGCTTCCAGTATTTACAGTTTTTCATTTAGCGATCTGAGTCACTATATTTGAAAGAAGTAGAAGTAGTAGACTCAAACACACTAATCATTTTATGTGTGTAAAGTGATTAGTGTGTTTGAGTCATGAAGTTTGCCTTTTTCTGTTGCTGAGACCTTTTATTTTATCCTCTTGTTTTCTTCTTGTAATGTTACCTGCTTCTGTTTTACTGCATTAAACAGTTTTCTGTATCCATTCTTAATATCTCCTCTTTTTCTTCTACCCAGCTGAGTACTTTGCCACTACCATGGTCATTGTTGGTCTCTCAGTAATTGCTACAGTTCTGGTCTTACAGTATCACCACCATGACCCTGATGGAGGCAAGATGCCGAAGTGGGTGAGTGTTGTTTGATATTACACCATTATCTGATTATCTGTGACTTGTACTTTGATCCCAGTTACGTCACTGTAGTCACTTGCCTCTAGCCATACCACAAAACTGTGGCTTTTATTATGATAAAATGTGAACGTCTGCTTTGATTATACTGTTTTTCTATTAGGTTATAGTCAATTTTGCTCAAGATTAATAAGCATTTATTGTGTAAGGCCATGTACAAAGAAACAAACCAGAACAAAGAAATATGACCACATCACCCCTATTTTAGCTTCATTACACTGGCTCCCAGTATGTTTTAGAATTGACTTTAAAATGTTATTGATCACTTTTAAAGCTCTTCATGGCCTCTCGCCTTGTTATATTTCTGACCTTTTAGTCCCATACGCACCAACACGTACCTTGAGATCCTCGGGCAGAGGTCTGTTGTCTGTTCCAGAGTCTCGACTGAAATCCAGAAATACAGAGCGTTTGCTGTCAGGGCCCCGAGGCTCTGGAACAGCCTGCCCGAGGAAATCAGGTCGGCTGAGTCAGTGAACTCTTAAGTCCCTTCTTAAAACATACTTTTATAGGCGAGCCTTTCCCGATCTTATTTGACTTTATTTTATCCCTTTTATTTTATTCTATTTTACTTATTTTATATTTACCTTAAACATGTCTTTTGTCCCTAAACGTCTTTTCAATGTTTTCTTGCTTTTATCTTGTATTGTTTTTGGATTATTGTCTTTCGGGTATTATTGTCTTTACACTTTGTAACTTGTTTTTGAAAAGTGCTCTACAAATAAACATCATTATTATTATTATTATTATTATTATTATTATTGTTATTGTTGTTGTTGTTATGTATTCGGGAGGTATTTAACCAGCAGTGTTTAGAGGACTCCCCTCAGGACAGCACCAGGATATTGCTTAGTGTTCAAATGTGAAAAAGTTTGCTTGCAAGTTGAAAATATAACAACTTATACACAATAATTTACCAGGAGGATTCAGAGTCTGGCCGATGTGTTTATATAAATGTCTGTCTGTATTGACAGACAGACATTTATATATCCTTCATTTAATACAATTGATTTAAAGTTGATAGGAGCTGTATTAATCTATTTCTTTTTCAAAGACCCGTGTGATCCTGCTGAACTGGTGCGCCTGGTTTCTGCGCATGAAGCGCCCAGGTGAGGCGCGAGTGCGTTCAGCCTGTCACAACAAGGCTCCACGGAGCAGCCTGACCAGCATGGAACTCAATGCTAGCGCCTCAGCCTCCCAATCCACCAACGGCAACATGCTTTATGTTGGCATCCGTGGCCTGGAGAGCCTCCACTACTCCACAGCTGCCACCTCGCCTGACTCTGGGGTCCTCTGTGGACGCCTGATCGGACGAGCAGGTGAGGATGAGATGCTCCTCCCCACAGGTCACAGCTCCTCAGTTGGCAGTGTAGAACCAGAGCTGGCCAAGATCCTGGAGGAGGTGCGATATATTGCCAAACGTTTCCGTGACCAAGATGAGGATGAGTTAGTGTGCAACGAGTGGAAGTTTGCTGCGTCTGTTATCGACAGGCTTTGTCTCATGGCTTTCTCTCTCTTCACTGTCCTCTGCACTATTGGGATCCTTATGTCAGCACCCAACTTTGTAGAGGCCATTTCCAAAGACTTTTTCACTTGAGGACTGTATGAGGAAATAAATGCTTCAACAAAAACAAAAGCCTATACTAATCACTCTTATCCCAGAGTAACCATTTGTTAACTCACAGGGCAGTAGTTTGGATACAGTTAGTAGTAACACTGCTAGTACGGGACTGATGGGACAAATACTTAACTAATAATACTTAAAGCAAAATCAAATTGAGGACTTCAGAAAAAATGTATGCAAGACATAACTAGCTGAATTTATGTCTTACATGATGGTGGGGAAAATGACCAGCCTTTGTACTGTTTTAAAGCAACTAAAAACTAATACTACAAAACATTGTTTAAGTGGTGTAATTTGCTAACCTACAAAGAATGCAACTGTGGTTTGTTATATGATGTTACCTGTGTAGTATTGTTCATTACATTGTATCTATTAGAAGATCCTCACTAAAATCTATTCCTTATACGAAACATAACTGCTATAGTATCTTGTATTGAAATGTATTTGTTGTATCACATGAACTCATATATTCAAAATAATTATGTGATGTTGTAAATTGCCTTTTTATAATTACAAATTAATTAGTTAAGTTATTAGTTAATTATTGTCATAAGAATAAGCTTATATCACCTCAATTCTTGATTCTTATTTTTATTAGATTTATTTTGATAATTAAAGAATTACTGTGAGGTCAAAATATTTTGCTTTTCATGTTGGTTCATTCAAATTATGATGTTTTTGTTCTTGTCCAGTCAACAGTTGTACTGTAACGTTTCTCAAATAAATGCAATTTTTCTATTTGAAAATGGGACACCAACTAAAAAATGTTTTCTTGCTGTACAGAACTGTGTTTGATACATACAAATACAATTTTGTGCCTTTCCTTGCACCATCAAATTGAAACAGAACAGACTGACACAGAAGGCTATTTCACAATCAGCTAGCAAAAGCCAAAAACTCTACTAATGTACTCTAATGCAGCTCCTGGAGAACTGAAGGATGATGAGTCATCACTTTGCCTACATTTAATTCTGCAAGAGTGAATGAAAAATTTCACTGAACAGGAACACTGAAAAAAATCAACTGTCAACTTACTACTTCTTTTTAACTCAAATAGCTCTGATAAGTTTTGGATTTTGAACACAACTGTATGAGTTTTAGAAAGTTAAACTTGCATTAATTCATTGTGTTGACTATTTGACACTTTTGTCGTGTTGATTGAACTTATGTAAGTTATCAGTTGAAAAAAAAGGCCAGAGTACGAGGATTGCCTAGGTGCTGCGTCTTTTGAGTTTGAGAAAAACATATACATAATTATTAGGGTTTAGCGAATACTCTGATGATAAGATAAAAAGTATCTGTACCGGATACTCATTTCAACAAAGTAAAATGTGTCAATGTCTGTCTTGTTATAAACTATAAATATAGGAACCTTTTAAAAAAAAAAAAGTCAATTACTATTGTGATCAAAAACATCGCTCTGAAGCTCAATTCTGAGGCTGTTCTGTAAATAGTTTTCTAAGAAATATAGCAAGTTCTGATTTCAGACTTAAATAACTTACAGTAAATACCGCCCACTTATAGATTAAGCCCTGCCCATTCTGAGTAGATACAGAAAATTTAATTTGTTTAACAGATACAGAAAGAGATAGTGGTGTTCTTGCTCACCCCTGCTAATTATACACTGCAGATAAGTCATATATTCAAATTCTTGTGGTAAACAAGACTAGTGCCACTGGTGGAAAGGGTTCCTGACAATGGCTTTAAGGCCCTTTCAGAAAGGAGGTGACATCTGTTGCTATTTTGAACTTTGACTGCAGCGTGCACAGGTGCACCAACAAACTTACATGCCCCGCCACAAGTCATTGAAGATAATAGCACAGTGGTGCTGTTGTTGTGGTCTGTCTTCAAGGCCCTTTATAGTAAACTGAAACAAATTTGGAATTTAAATCCCTTAACTTGAAATGGAAAGTAGTATTCATTTGTTTAAGTTGCATTAACTTGAAACTATGAAGAATAACTCAAACTTGTTCATTTAACTAACATTGAGACAACTAGAACACTGTAGTTATATCCACTTTATGAACTTAAATTTATGAGTTGAAACAAAGGCAATCTTCAAGTTGAGTTAACTTGCATTTTCAAGGCAGCAGGTGAACTTGCATTTCCAAGTTACACTAACTTGCAATGTCTTATATTATAATATTTAGTTATATGAACTTAAAAATGTGAGTTGAAGGGGTGTAGAATTGTGTGTTTGTTTGACAAGAGAAAGCAAGTTTCCTTGAATGGCCAATGTAATATAGATAGTTGTTTAAACTCATAGTATTAAGTTCAAACAATAAATTATCATTAATTAAACAAATTGTATAACGTAACATCATGAGTTGAAACAAAGCTTTTCTTAAAGTTGAGTTTACTCACATTTTTAAGGCAGCAATTGAACTTAAGTTTTTAAGTTGAACCACCTAATTTTTACAGTGAAAGTTTTCAAATGCTTGATTTGGTAGTTTGACCTTATCATTGATTAATCACTGATTACAGGACTACTTTAATTCCACTGCAACCAGTTACAGAAAATGAAGCATTGAGACAAGAATGCGTGTGACATTTAGTCATTGTTAAGCAATTCAGGGTACACATCAATTACGTTAAAAACAAGTTTCAGAGATTACTAGAAAAAACAACTATTGGGGGTCTTTAAAACTCATAAAGTGAACGTTATAAAAGACACAAGGCATCTGGGAAGAAAATTTGAGAAAAATAATTAACAAATCAATTCATTGTATCATTATAGGTTAAGCTACCCAACAGTGTATAAAATAATCAAAATTATCTCCACTTTTACCAGCTGTATTTGAGGTACATTTTTCTTCTACTCCACAACAATTAATGGGGAAATATCGTACTTTTTAGCCCTACTTTACTAAATTTATCTGGAAGCTTTAATTACTAGTTACTTTTACAAAGATTCTTTGCACACACACAGAGAACATGAAGAGTTTATCAAATATAAATTATAAATTAATTATAAATTATACATTTTCTTATAACCCCGCGACCCTGTATGCAGGATAAGCGGTTGACGATGGATGGATGGACATTTTCTTATAAATTAAACTACCAAACAGTATATAAAAGTACAACTGAAATGATTTGTCAGTTTCATTTTTCTTGAAAAAACATTTCATGTTTCCAGCTTCACAAATGTGAGGATTTGCTACAGCAGTAAAATCCTGCTTTTATATTAATGTATAAGTAAAAATAATTAAACGATATTAGTATAGCAATCACATGGGCCATGTTTTCTGCATTGGGTACTTTTAATAATTTATGTACATTTGTCTGATTACATACTTTTACTTAAGTAACATTTTCAATACAGGCCTTAACTTGTAACAGAGTATTTGTACAGTATGGTATTATAACTTTTACCTTTGCCTCTGTAAACTTCCTCCACCACAGAAAGATTCAACTCTCCGGTTTTATCTGAAGGCATCTTTATTTTAATCCATTACAAAACTGCCACCTGTTGACTGAAGTTACCAGGCACACCGATAAAGCGACATGAACAGTGGTGTTTGTCGTACGAGTTGGGAGGAACCTCCCAATCTGCAGCACTGGTTGTTTCAGGATGAGATTCTCTGCTGCCACATAGTTAACCAGTGGGTGTGCGCCTTTGTTATTTCGCCGACTGGAAACACATCCATTCAGTTGACACGCCACTGATATCGTTGATCTGAGGTTAGAGTGTAAAGTCTTTTAGCTTTTAAAATGTCGGACGCTTTGTTGCAGTGGTGTGTGGACCAGTTCCAGCACAAGTTTGGGTTGGAGGCGTGTGAAGACATCGTCCAGTAAGAAAAGTTAACGTTAGTTAAATGTGACGGTTAAAGTGCTGACAGACACTCTCTGCCAACAAGCTAACGTTAACATCTGTCTTCGAGATGAAAAGGCTAGCTTGGTAGTGCTGTAACAGTTTTTGTGGAGAGGTTTTCCAGTGTGACTGCGTATGAAAATATCGTCAGTCAAAAATTATGTGTGTGAGTGTTAGATGTATGTTCCTTTGATACAGCTAGCTATAAATACGTTTGGTAACGTTATTTACTTACACAGCTGTCACAGTAGCAGGTAGACTGTTTGACAGGTGTATTAGCTATTTATTAGCTAAAGGCTAACCAGTGATTTCATTCCCTAACTTATTAGACTCTATTAAATACAAATCTCACCTTTCCATGTGACACATCCTCAGTGATGTCACTTTGTGACGTTTATGACACGTTGATGATCAGATTAGGGTTTGAAATGGACGTTTGTAATGAGTTTTAGGGCAGGGCAACATAAAAAGGTGTATGCCTTGTAATGTCCCTTCAATTATCTGTAACATTACTAACGACAAAAATACAAAGACACTAAGGATGCACAAGAGGTGCACACATTTGTTAATTTTCAGTTCATATTTTTCTTATTTTATGTAGACATTTTTGACATTGTTTCAACCACAGATGGTTATCAAGTATAGGTGAAAGTGTGAGCATACCTACATAGGCAGTATGTGATGAGAAGTCACACAGTAATTTCTAATTTCACAATAATTTGATAATTAATAGATGAATTTTGAGTACAATAAACCCAGTGTTGCTCCATTATGCTTAAACATTTCTACAAATCAAAAGCAAACATGCAAAAGAAACAACTATTTTATCAAAAATTAACATTAAATGTTAATTATGTCATCGTGCTGTCTAGATACATTCTATCTATCGAAAGAGCTGAAGAGATTGAGGAGTATGTGGGAGACCTCCTGCAGGGCACAGATGGGAGAAAAGGGCAGTTTATAGATGACCTTCTCTGCAGATGGAAGAAGACTCAGAAACAGTCTATAGATAACACAAGTGCGTTCCTTTACAAGGAATCCGTTTCATCAGCAGGTAGGCCAACAAATGTTTGATGTCTGCCATTGAATGTATTTTGATGTACATAAAATTCCTCCCGGCCATTAACAACCTTGCCATTATCCACTATGTAAGGTACTTGTGCACGACTAAAGATTGTAAATAAATAAAAATTGTAATGATTTAAATGTCTTATGAATGTGTTATCCACAATATTTGTTGAAGGTAATTTGTTCTCCTTTCCTAGATTCACAAGACATGAGCAAAGATACACAGAAGAAGTCGAAGCGCAAGGGCCGTAACAAACAGGAGGTGATGACTGTGAGCCAAACAGAACCTGAGCCAGAGGCAGTCAAAACCCCCATTGATCTGATGAGGGTGAGTACACGTCGGCCTAAACATTTGTTTTCTTATTGCCTACTTGCTTACTTACTTTATGAAGGTAATTCTCATGGTTTGAGTACAAAAATGTCACAACACAAGTTAATTTGATCCATTTCATTTTTATCTTTGTGCTGATTTGCTTGACTCATCTATTTCTTTGCTCTCTTCTTATTTCCTCTCTACATGTACTACTTTCTCAGGCCCAAGAAAACAGTAGCACTTCTTCAACAAAGAAGAAAAGTAAATTTGTCAATCTTTATAATAAAGAGGGACAGGACAAGCTGGCTGTCTTACTCCCGGGTCGACATGCCTGTGAGTGCCTTGCCCAAAAGCACAAGCTCATCAACAACTGCATCAGCTGTGGTCGCATTGTGTGTGAGCAAGAGGGCTCAGGACCCTGCCTCTTCTGTGGAAGCCTGGTAGATATGTTTTTTGAGTCTTTAGATTCCATTTTATTTCAGTCAGCTTGTCTGGTTGATAATCCTTGTTATCTAGTTTAGTATTCTTCACTCATAGTTTTTTTTTGATTCAGGTCTGCACAAAAGAAGAGCTAGAGATCCTGCAACGAGACTCAAACAAAAGCCAGAAACTGAGAAAGAAGCTTATGGGAGGTGAGAGTCCCAACTAATCAGAATAATTATTTACTCATTTGATTTAGCTAACACTTTTATCCAAAGTGACTTACAATATGGATATATATATCAGAGGTCGCACCCCTCTGGAGCAATTAGGGGTCAGTCTTTCCCACACATTGATTTATTTGTGGTGGCCTGCCACATTATCAACGCTGACCGCCACATATTGATTTTCGATTTTATTTATTTTTTACTTTACTATTTAAAATGGGTAAAATCGTATTTGAGTACAGAGCTGCTCGCAGCACATATATTCGCTCGGCACCACTACACTGCGGCACAAATCTGTCCAACACAACGCTGTCAATGTCAGAGACCCACCTTCAAAAAAGTTAATAGCAAGTAGCCTAGCTAATGAGGACCGCTATGTTAACGTCAACATCAACTGCACCCCCCCGCCACAGTTACGCTGTCATTCTGTGGGAAACTCTGGGGGTTAAGTGTCTTGCTCGAGGACACATTGGTGGATGTGTCACGATGGGAATCAAACCCGGGTCTCTCATACCAAAGGCATGTGTCCTACCCACTGCACCATCGCCAGCCCAATTAATTTATAATTAAATACTATAATAATTAAATACTAAAATGTATGAAACAGTGGGTTTATGCTATTCATTTGTTTTTGTTTTGGTGACAGATTGTGGAGAAAGAGATTATCTCCCACACCAAGAGGCCATGATGAAGGCTGGCTTGGAGAAGGCTGTCCAGCACAAAGAGAAACTGCTGGAATATGACAGAAACAGGTAGCATGAAACATGAAGAAAAGAGCCTCACAAGAAAGGATGGCGTACTGCTTGGTGTGCAGTGTCGACACAGGTTTTTCAATTACTGTGGAAGGTAATCATAAAACTTGGCGATAACACTGACCTGGTTATTTACTGCCCCTCCAGTGTAAGGAGAACTCAGGTTCTGGATGATGAGTCGGACTACTTTGCCACTGAATCCAATCAGTGGTTGTCACCCGGTGAGCGAGAAAAGCTGAGGAAAAAGGAAGAGGAGCTTAGACAACTTCGCCATGCCTCTCGCAAGGACAGGAAGATCACTTTGGACTTTGCTGGTAGACAAGTGATTGATGAGGGAAATAACCTCAATGAGTACTACAGCAAGTAAGATAATCTGACATATCTTAAATCAACACTAAAAGGACAGATTTCTGTTGTGTAGTCATGCTAAATGCTGTCCTTTTGAAATGTTTCCATTACTTTGCAGGTTGGATGAGACCCTCAAGACTATGAGCAGTGACTCTATGTCAAAATCACCAATGTATTCTAAGAGACAAGGTGGAAGGCAGAGCCTGGGAGAGCTGGTCAACCCCAACATAATGCAGTCTGCACCTGAGGTAAATATAGGCAAGGCATATATATAATATATATATGTATGTGTATATATGTGTATATAGTGGGCATAACAATGGTGTCACCTTGTGGTACAGTTTCAACACTGCATATAAAATGTTTCTACTTTAGACTAGTAATTTGCATTAAAAATGTAAATGGAACATTGTATTCATAGAGATTCAACTAATGATGATGATGACAATAAATGCACTTTCTAGTGGGTGGATGTTGGAGGTCGTGTAAACTACAATAAAAACAAGAGTCAGGGAAAGCGTTTGGCGGAAGACAAGGGAGGAGAAGAACGTCACAGGTTGCGGCTCCAAGACAAAGACCTGCAGGAGATGTCTGATGGGGGCTGGTGCCTCAGCATGCACCAACCATGGGCCTCACTACTGGTCAAAGGCATCAAGAGGTCAGGAGTAAACAAAATCCCTCTTATGGAGACTTGTTTTCCATCAGGACAGTGAAAGCAGACGTAACATTATAATGTTTGTGTGTGTGTGTGTGTGTGTGTGTGTAGGGTAGAGGGGCGAACTTGGTACACATCCCACCGGGGTCGTCTTTGGATTGCTGCTGCTGCCAAGGCGCCCACTCCTCAGGAGATTGCTGAGGTGGAAGCAATGTACCGCCACATCTACAAGAAAGGTACATAAACTATACACAGCAAATCAGGTAATAGGACCGTATCTATGACCGAATACTTGAAGTGATTTTATTCTACCTGTTTTACATAGAACACATCTTGGAAACCACTACCAAAAAGTCTGAAATGATGCCTGTAATTTCGCATGTTGGTGGATCTTTAATTGCTCTCGTTTTCTGTACAGAGCCCAGGTTTCCTAAAGACTACCCCACTGGCTGCCTGTTGGGCTGCGTCAACATGACTGATTGCCTGTCTCAGGAGCAGTTCCATCAACAGGTCAGTGAAACATTTTACATTGCTACTGACAAAAACCATCAAGGAAAGACAACAATAGTGTTTTATTTGAATCAAAATGTGTCATTATAACCCACAATAGGCATAAAGGGAAGTGATGGATGGAAAGACTTGAATAGTGTGAAATGATGCCATACAAAACCACTGTGATGCTTAGTAAAGTTATGTTTGCTGCCACGTGTGACTTGGAACGTTTTATTTTCTTGGGTGTCAGTGTTTGGTTGCTTTGACCAAGTATTGACGGGTTCTAAAATTTGTGGTTGATGGTTAATATGGTGGCTGCTTTTGTTGTTATTGTATTTTTGTGTTAACTGCTGGAACTCTTATAATTCCCATCCCAACAATGTTTTTTTAACAACTTTTCTTCTGTTTGTTGTTTTCTTCTGTGAGTTCATGGTTGCTTATAGAAGGTTAAAATCTAGAAACTTGTACTTGTCAGCGGGATGAGCACAATTTTTCCTCCACTTTTCTTTTTATTTCTTTTACTGGTAGATTCTGTATTTCACTGAGTTGTTGATGCATATTGTGCCATGTAAAATTGCTGCAATATCGTCTCTTACCAGAAGATGCCAGACTGCACCTTTTTACCAGAAACTCCCTGCCAGCTTCCAGTATTTCCCACTTGAGACAGTATGCCTCACAGGACTAACCACTGAAACACAAATCCAGTCCAAGCCCTCATTATACCAAGAAAATGGGGATCTATGCACATTATCTCCCAAGAAAATGGGGATCTACACACATTACATTGGCATTCACATATTGTGTTTATGCAGCAGACATAGCAAAGAGAGCTTGATAATCTTATATTCACATAAGTCTTGTATAGCAAAGGGCACCCTCTAATTATTAATAAAACAATAGAGTGCAGTGCTGATTTCCGTGCTTTTCGTTTGATGTCTTCCACGAATACTCAAAGTGAAATCCACCCTTAACTGGAGTGTGAAAAGGACTCCTGGTTGATTCTGAATTGGCACTATGGTCGGTGCTGCCTTTTTGGACCCATAAACTGTTTACTTGAGCCTTTACACCTGAGTTACCTTAATTAATTGCAGTTTTACCGAGTATAAACTACAATAGAAATACACCCCTCTCCCTATTAAGTCATCTTGTGTATACAGAGTCACTCCCCTGGTCGCTGTCAATGGAAAACATTTAAACTTTATTACATTGCCATCCTCGCCTTGTCTGTTTTGCCTCCAGCTTTGGAACACACTGCTCTCTCTGACGTCTACTGGTGTTATCCTTTTACAGTATTATGTTTGTTATTATTTAAGATAAAATGATTAGCTGATATAAATAAAATCAATTGCCAACTATGACGATAATCAATTAATCAGTTAAGTCATTATTTAAGCAAAAATTGCATACTTTGATTGCTTCCAGATTCTCAAATGTGAATATTTTTTTCCAAGCCTTCTTTGATAGTAAATTGAGCTTTTGGACTGAATCAAGAAATTTGAAGATGTCACTTTGGGTTCTGGCTGATGGGCGTTTTTCACAATTTTCTGACATTTTATACACCAAGCAGAAATTTTAATAATAGGGCTCTGATGCACGACAACCGTCTCTAAATATATACACACCTTCAAGGTGTCAGTTACTTATCGTTATTTTTTTATTGTATATAAACATTTACATGGCTTACATGGCATAGTCTACAGTGAAACTGGATATGTGGGGAAATGTGTAAAATGCTAAACTTTGCACAAACATGCCCTAACCCAGCAAAGCTACAAGCCCTCATTCATAAGCTCATATGCAGACTTTGATGACATACTGAAACGGTGTTCTGTTACGATAAAAAACAAAAGCCAAGGAAAAGGCAAGTATCCCATTTTAGGATGTACTTGTGTTTCCTGCATAAACAGTTGGTCTTATTTTTGAGGTGTTCTATGTTTGGATTTAAAGAAAAAATCTACTTTAAAAATGTGTGCTGCTACATGGTTTGTATTCTGACTGCTGGGACCTGTAAATCTAAGGGCTTTCCCCTTTTGTACTCTGTCCTCATTCTCTCCTCCACCACTCATTCCACCCAGGGCTGTAAAATCATGTTTGCAGGCAGTGTGACTGCCCTTTCATCCTGTGAAAGGTGTGTGTGTGTGTGTGTGTGTGTGTCCACTTGCACAGAGCAGCCATAAATAACACCCCCACCCCACACAAGGCCCCTCAGAAAAAAGAAAGAAAGGCAGATGTAGAAAATAGTGAAGCAACTACAGATCAACAACGGTACCAAAGACCTAATGATGGTGCTGAACAGTTAGTTAGTGCTTATTCCTGTCACTGTTTTGGAAAAAGCTGTTTAGCAAATAGCTGTTTAAGCATGCTTCTTTTCATGTAAGCGAAGCGTGCATGTTGTGCTTGTGCATAGTAGCGCACACATACAGCTGAGCTGCTGGGCTGAGCGAGTGGGTGAGGTATAGGATTTACTGTCCTGTGCTGGCAGTTGTGGGTGGTTAAAAGAGAGGGGTGGTGAAGGACACAGCCATTATTCTTCGGGCTCTTCTAAATCTGCCCATAGTGAAGTATGAAATATTTAGAGAATGTGGAACGTGGGTAGATCAGAAGAGCATGAAAGAAACACTATGAACGCAAAAAATGCAGTAAATATTTGACCACCACTGATCCAGTGTGATAGCAGTCATTGCCCAGTTGGGGCGCTTTTGTACAAAGCAGCACCAAAAACTGATACCCTGCTGACAGACAGTGCAGAGAGACCACCCTAGGCACAGCGGGATTTCCATCTGCTTGACTTGGACCAATTCTTTCCCTCATTATAAATTGACTGGTGTATTGATCCATTCCCCCCATAATCTCTCACTCCTCCCAGCTCCCCAGCCCCCCTTACTACTGATAATTGGCTGGCCATTATGATCTGTGCTATGTCTCCCCACTCCTTCCCCCAGTGCTGCTCACTCAGCAATGGGTGGAGGGGTGGGGGAGTAGGTATGTTACAGACTGAATTTGTGAGTGTTTTTGCTGGAAGAGGCAGAGTGAGATAATTTAAAATGATGAGCAGAAAGCTCCAGCCAAACTAAGCAGATTTATAGTTGGTGGATATGCTGAAGATGGTTTACTTCACACATACAAATGTCACTCAATTGTGCAATATTTTAAGAATTACTATATTTTGACTACATTTATCTTCACATGCCAAAGACCCATTCAGTCTGGTTCACAGCACAGGCGAAGGCAGCTCACACCCCATACCGAGCTCATATCACACCATTAATTACTCCTGCAGTGAAATAACTGATTGGATCAATCCACCTTTTTAAGTAAGGGTCTAAATTATTACTGTGTTCCAAAGACCATATCATCAGCTGTAGAGCTACATGTCTTAGGGAATACAAGTCAGAGAGGTCTAATCTTTTCAACAGGCATGCCAAGAGCAACACCAGTGACTGTATTGATTCATATGAAATGACAAGAAGGCAAAGTGGGCTTTGTGTGTGTTTGTGTGTGTGTTTTATCTAATCGAAGGATCTTATGACTTTTTTTAGGACAAAATGTTGACATAGTAATTAAGTCTGGAAGTTTCAGCATTTACAAAGGTTGTTGAACAGTAATATAATCTGTGGTACTTTAATAATAATAATAATACAAGCATATTTTATTAAAATTAGATCTGTTGAAGCCTGACATATAGCACATCCCTTGGCACTTGTGTATATCAGATACACATGTCAAGATGGTTTATTGCAGTGGTCCCCTGTGGCCACATTTCTTTGATCATTAAGCCACCATCCATGCATAGGCTATATTTATTTCACAAAATGAAAATAAATGTAAGAAATGTGCATAAGGCTCTCACATTAGACATTTTGACATGCCACAGTAGGAGAAACACAGGTGTTAATTATTAAATTAATAATAACTAAGTCGGTTTTATGGTCCTACAGCCTGTTGCACCAGCTGTGTCTAAGTTCAAACATACTAGTTATAACTAAGTTTTTAAAATAATAAAAAAATAAAATAGCGTTTGCACCACGGAGATTAAGATACAACCTAAGTGCTATGATTTACCCTACCTGTCCCTACCCTGGGACATGTTTAACTATTAGCTGAGTAACATTTAATAGTTACACATGCCCCAGGGTAGGTGTAAATCATAAAATGTCAGTGTTATATGGTAAAACAGCTGTTTTTCTACCCCAGTATCATTTTTCATTAATTGCATGCAGGTTTTCATCAGAGTAATCAAATAGAGACCTAGTTTATTGAAATGATATTTCAGTATTGATCTAGCTTACTACGATGTGCTACGATGCCAAATGGCTCATTTTAGACAGACACACAACAACGTTATGCTTTGTGAATTGGAAATGGCTTCATCCTGCTTCGTCATGTGAAGCAGGATGAACACGTGTAGCAAAAGCATCCCATGTTTTCTTTGCCTTACACTGAAAAATCTATTTGCCAGTGATTGTCTTACTACATATTACTCTGGTGATTAAATAAATCCATGTCAGAAACATTTTAAGTTTTAATTCAAGTACTTGAGTCTGTTATTGCAGTGGTGTGGATTTTAAAATATGCCACTATTATCATTATACAAATGGCCATTATGCGTCTTTTTCAGGATAATTGAATAAAATATTGAATTCTTAATGAGTTATTTAGATTAATTCATCATTTTATCAATCGAAAGAGTAAATGTTAGGTTAATAGATTTGAAAAATAATTGTTAAGTGCAGCATACAGTGCACCTACACTGCATACAGTGTATGTAGGTAGCAGCATCATCTGCATACATTTTAGTGTTTAGCATCGCTTCTGTGTTTTATTTAAACTGTAGCAATTGAAAATAATTACAAAAATTAATACAAAATAGATGATGATTGTTAAAGAATCACCCAGTCATCGCGAAAGCTTTACATAGACCTTAGTCACAGCCCCGATAACGCAATCGTTGTCTAGTCTCTATTGGACATGATGTTTAAAATAACAGGTCTGCTGACTCAGTTAAATGTTTCTTTCAC